GCAGCCTGCCACCAGAGGGCAGCAAAGCTGGTCTAGATCCACAGTACTCCCTACCAAGCCACTAGGACTTTACTAAAAATACACAGGGAAAAGCAAATGAAGTTTTCCTCTTTTTTTTTTTTCTCATCCTAAACTGACCTCACTCCAGAGCCTTTTAACACTTTCTTAGAGATCTTGATTAGAAAGCTAGAGAAACGTAGTAAAAAAGAAATCGTCTTTCTAAGGCCTGATCTGCTTTACGCTTTTCCCTAGGTTTGTCCAACCTCAGAAAAATTCCACCCCTGAAGTCCAAGTGACGGTGGACATGCTCCCTTAATGTCAGGGTCCTCCAACTCGAAGTGATGGTGGACATGCTCCTTTCATGTCACTGGAGAATTGACTGCATAAACAGGAGACAGGAAGAAGCAGGTGTGAGATATTGAGGATGGGCAGCACCACAAAGAGCTGCTCTTCACTAACCCTGGGGAACAGTGAGACTGAATGTGTCTCAAACTCTTTCTTCTGAGTAAGATTAGCTGGTTTAGGAGAGCTAAGAGTGAAAGCAAAAGCAACACCAAAGATTATCTATGAGACCCTTTCAGGTCCAAATTTATATGATTTTTTTTGTTTCTTTGCTTTTGTAATACTAGTGTTGAACCCAGGGCCTTTGCAGTAAGCTACATCCCCAGGCCTTTACAAAATAAATAAATAAAGCACTTCCAGAACCAAATTTGTTCTTCACCACAAAAACTACCTCTAAAGCTGCTTCTCACCTCCTCTCCTGTATCTTTCATTAACAGAATAAACTTTACCAGTGCTCCAAACCAGCACACTTGGTCTCCATTCTAAAACATTTTTTCCTTCTTCCTGGCACTATATCAAGAGACAGTGGGGAATGACTAGATTCTCAGATCTGAGTACAAATGCTACCAACACCACTATCTGGCTGCAATCTTTGATCCAGGATATGACGTTCTGGAAGTCCTCAAGGTGTTTCTAGAACAAAGATAATATCATCAGCAAATTGTTACAAAGATCAATAAAGCATGTGCCACACTGTAAGGCAAGGCAATCTAGAAGATCAGAAAATATGACTGTCACCATGAACAACATATATTATTTCTAGGAACTTTTAAAATCTAATTAATTCCAATTTATCATAAAGAAATTAATACTAATGATAAAACTCACATAAAAGTTCACGGTGGAAGTTATGGTGGGCCAAATTATCCTCAAGAAACAAAAATGAAATTCCAATATTCATTATAAAAATCTAATAAAAATTTCAATCACAAGGACAATATATTTTGCTACATTCTCATTCCTCCTAGACAAAAAAATAAAATCTAATAAAAGCTGTTTTTTAGTCCATAGTATAATACTTTGAGGTTTTCCTTCTGGAAAGATACAGTTAATCTTGGCTGAATAGAATACCACAGAATAATGCTCTTACTGGTTATGCATATCATTTTCTTTTTTTAAATACTGCGTTTAAAAATTATTTCCTATTTTCAAACAATTTAAACCTTTTACATATTGTGAAAATTTATCTCCACTAATTACCATAGGGTAGACATTACAGTTATAACTTATCATTTACAAAAACCTAAAAATGTACTTGGTAAACACTAAAATCAAAAATACCTGTCTGGGTAATGTACTTGTTTAAAATTAAGCCAACTTCTTTTGGAGAAACGGAAAGGCGCACTGTACGAAGACCATTAATTTGTCCCTTTCTCAAAAATATTAAAACATGTGAAGTTTGTTTTTTGAAATCTCAATAACCTACTATATTTCTCTCCTGTCCAGTATATTAGGTAATTGTATGCCACACTAAAAACAAAATAAGGAAAACATTCCTATCATCTACCCTTTTCCATAAAAAAAAAATAGAAATATGATACACACACAATATGCTGTAAAGGTGACAATGACTTCTTAATTAAAAAAAAAGAAAGAGAATTTAGAGGATTTGGAAGGGTATGTGGGATCACTGGTTATCATTTAAAAAAAAAAAAAAAAGATGGCTTAGTGATTTTTACATCCAGTTCTGGAGATCCATGTAGGTGCCTTAGTGGCAGCGGCCTCAACTCCATGTTAATCAAAGATAAATGCATGATTTTTGGTCCATTTATATGCTGAGCTTCACCAGAGACTGTTCAAACAGAGGTGACCATAACTGAAAAATCTGAAAATCACTAAAAAGGATTAACCAATAATAACAATGACTAATATTGATATTAACACTTCATAAGCTAAAAACAGAAACAATACTGAATATAGAAAAATAGTTTTAAACAGTAACAGCATTAAGAAATAGGTTAAGACTCACAGCCTTAGTTGCTTTTCCTTTATGACTAAGGATGTTCTTTCAATGCTAACCAGTTTTATCAGACCATTGATTGTTCAGGGAAGGAACACACAGTTAAGCTTCCTCAATTTGGCTTTGGCAAAAAGACAATAGCTAACTCACCAGAGCATTGGCTGTGAACTCAAAGCAAAAGAGCTCTGCCGGCAAACATATGATTATCTGACATTACTGGGTATGCTTAATAATACTGAGGTGGGGGACATATATGTCTTAGTTTGAGAATCTTTACTAGAAATTATATCCTTTCCCAAGGATATTGCTAATTTTTAACAACTACCACCTCCTCCTATTCTTCTATAGCTAGGTCAATAATACTATTAAAAATCAGAAACTGGAGTTTAATAAAGTAATATATGAAAATTTTTACTTCCTAAATAAATTAGACTATTTAGAAATTTAATTATTTCGGGGCTAGGAATTTAGCTCAGCAGCATAAGCACCTGCCTTGCAAACAGGCGGTCGTGATTTCGATCCCTGGTACCGATAAAAAACGAAAAAGACAAAAAAAAAAAAAAGAAAGAAAGAAAGAAATTTAATTATTTCAATGTTTTGCTTTTTCCAATGAAGAAACTATAGATCCAAGCTTATTTGCCAGTGCCTTGGTCCACAAGGCAGAGATGACTACCACTGACTAGCCTCTCCTACCTTTCTTCCTCCTTTAGCCCATGGTATTACTATTGCACTTTTGACAGAGAAGGATAAAGCTACCTAAGAAGAATCCTATAAATTTTTTGTCACAGGAAAATGTTGTTTAGTGTTGTTAAGTATGCACAATTTTCCTATTCACCAAACCTTCTATAATGTGGAATATTATTTTTTAACGCTTATTACTTTACAGGAGAATAGAGTTGAGTCTCTCTGTATATTAAGACTTAGTTGCAAAGGATCACAAAGGGAAAAAAAGCACTAGCTTGAAAGCAAATTACATGAATACTCAAATTAAAAACAATCATTTCATCTGATTAAAAAATAAGAAACAATAATCTGGACTACATTAAATAATATTTACTTCTTAATACCATCGGACACTCTTCAGAAGGTTCAGAAATAAAAACAGCAGATGTTCCAAACATAGGGAAGATAAAATGTTGCTGTACATACTCTCCAAACTACAACATTGATCTAATTAATAGTATAGTAAAGCCATGACAAGTACTGTTTCTTCTCTGCATGAAATGAAATTAATGAAAGCAATCCTACATCCAGGACAGAATGCTGGTCAGGTACTAATGTCCATAATAAAGGCACAGAGTCTTATCACAGAGGTGACCTGTACATAAGACAATGAGACTGTCTTGTCTGATGCTGCTCTCTGGACTTGAGAGACAAACCAAAATAAATTCAAATCATTTATTTCCTCAAAATAGATAAAATATGAAAATAAGGTCCAAGTTACTACAGATATTGATTTCCTCAGAAGATCTAATATGAAACATGCACAGGTAGAACAAGCTAACTTTCTGCAAGATTTCAAAATGTCTTCTAGCTCCAAAACTCATATTTAAAACAGACTAAAACATGGGCTAGATGCTTCAACCCATTTATTTGTTTGTTTGCAATGCTGGGGATTGAATATAGAGCCTTGTGCATATGAGGCAAGTGCTCTGCACTGAGCTACTCCCAGTCCCTCAATCCTTTTTAGGAAAGATATAAACATAAATTCACATATTTAAGCCGGGGATTTAGCTCAGCAGCGTAAGTGCCTGGCAAGTGCACAGTCGTGAGTTTGATCCCCAGTACCAAAAAAAAAAAAAAAGAAAGAAAAAGAAACACATATTTATAATAGAGTTTTTTGGTACCTGGGATTCAACTCACGATTGCTAGGCAGGTGCTTATGTCATTAAACTAAATCTCCAGCAAAGTTTCAAACTTCTATACATTCAAGAAAATATCAAATTTTCCTCTGATAACTCTTTTCTATAAAAACATATAAATTTTGTTCATATAATTTATATAATTACAATTATTACTAAATATGACAGACAAATCATATTTATTTTAATATGTAATAATTTTTATTTACAAAACTATCTCTTCAAAGAAATAAGCATACCTTTGGTATATTTCTTTTACTATTTCTTAAACCAAGACAAAACTGACCTAATTCTTGATACACACACAGTTTGTAAATCCTGTAGTTAAGCAAATCCTTTCCACAAATCTTTCTAAGCAACACATGTAAGAGGAGACATCATTCATGATTTACATCCCTAAGGGCATTCTCCCTAAATTTTCAAATAGTTTTTAGAACCAACTTTTTACCTATGAGGAAAGAGTCCTTGTCCTACTTGAAGTTCAAGGGGTCAATAGTAGCTTAGAATATGTGACTCTCAAGTAAAACACTGTTAAAGATGTGTTATTACTCTGGCACACTGCATCCCCTCTGGGCCTCCTCCTACAACATACTTAAGTTTCTAGAGCAAGAACCACCACACTGAGCAACTTCAAATGAGAAGGCTGGTAGATAATCAGACTAAGCTCATAGAATTATCCTCTTAGACTACACAAGCATCAACAGACTGAATTTCACACTTTTGAAAAAAAATTCAAGATAATATTTTATTTCAAATAAATATATGATGTAAATGCTCAAGACAGGCCTTAGTATATCCACAGCACTTCAGCTCAACCCAAGAGGTAAGATGCTTACCTGCTTCCTGTGAATTCAGCACTTCTAAGGCATGCATCATGGCACTTGCGAAGACATTGGCATCTTCCTTGCTGCCAAAGTTGAGGCCATACACCTGTCTAGCATCTCGCCACTGGTGGAAAGTCTGTGTAGCTTGATTATACTTCAACCCTTTAGGAATGGCACAATTTATCACGACCTAAAAGACAATAATTCTTTATAAAGTCAAGCTAAAATCTTACAAAATCAAGGAACAACTGAGACAATGTTTCAAAAGGCTGTCCACCTGATCCAGTGCCTTCTTCCTTTGTAGCTCACCTTTTTTCGTACTTTAAATGACTTGTTTTGTCCCACTTGTCAATATGTCTAACCTTTTGCCAATACCATAGTGTCTTTAATGATCATAGCTTAATTAAGTCACAAGAGCCTCTGGGTATTCATCTGACTTAGTTTCTCAATGTTGCTTTGGGTATTCTCAGTCAAGCTACCATTTTATATTCTGGTTATAATTTCCACCGAATTATTTTCAGAATTTTGATTAAGGTTTCACTAACTGTAACAGATCAACTTTGGAAGAACTGGTATCATAAAATTAACTGGTAACATGAGTATCATATACCGCTTTTTATTTAGATTGATTTTTAATACTTGATATCTTTCTCCATAGGGGTCTTTAATGTTTTCATTAGATTTGTTAGGTATTTGATAAATTTTTGTTACTACTGCAAATTAAAAATTTGTAATATTTAAAGTTTTCATCTTCTGTCTTATGAAACCTGATTTTTGTATAACGACAATGTCTTCAGAGGCCTTGTTGAATTTTTTAATTCTATTAATCTGTTAGTTAATTCTAACCATTCTAATCTATAAATCCTAATATGTTCACCCCCCCCCACATATATTCATAACATCAGCATGTGATGGCTTTATTTTTTCCTTTCCAGTCTTTGTACATAATAGTGTTTCTTTTTCTTAGCTCGATTACACTGCCTAGGAGTCACAATCCGATGCTGAAAAGATGTGGTAATACCAAGTACAGTTCTCTCTTCCCTGACACTATGAAAGAAAGTTTTCTTAAAGTGATCCTAGACAGAGTCTCCCATGAGCTGTTTCATACTTTCCATCAGTATGTGGAAGCATGCCTAATGCTAAGATCTTTGTATTTTCAAGTAAAATTAACCTGCAATTTCATTCTGTTGTATTCAAGAAAGTTTCATTATCAAAGTTATGCTGAGCTATCTCCTGAGATCCATGCCATGTTGGAACTTAGGGCTCTGGAAAACCAAGCACCCAGCTCGCCCACCTGGTAAGTAGCTGTAGCTTGGCAAGCTGCGGCTGCCCGAGAGGGAGAACCTCCAGCGTCTCCTGAGATCCGCGCCATGCTGGAACTTAGGATGCTGGGAAACTAAGCAACCAGCTCGACTCCCTGGTAAGCAGGCTGTAGTGTGGCAGGCTGTGATGGTCCCAGAGGGAGAACCACCAGCAACTCCTGAGATACGCGCCATGCTAGAACTTAGGGCACTGGGAACCAAGCAACTAGCTCACCTCCCAGCTAAGTGGTAGTGAGCCTACCAGTGCATGGGCTGAGAATCAAACATCCCACCCCACCCCTCCCCACCCCGTTAGCAAATGGGAGCCAGAGATCTGAGCATCTCTTGGGAGGTTGACCATATGCAATATAGCAAATAAGGGGGATTTCTTTCTACCATCTCTTTGAAGGCAAATATTTTTTCTACTGTTTTGCTTTATTCTGATTCATGGTATTGCTCTATTCAATATTCTGTTTTAACAAGTTCTACAATCTTCTGCATTTTGTTTTACTTGGCTATACCTGATTGAAAGAGCAACTATTTTGAAGATAACGAGATTTACTATGGTACCTACTACTGTTATCCCAGTAACCTGCTGTGAAGTTCTGTACTAATTTCACTACACTGTCTAAATTGGCTTTGTTCCGTCTTGTTCTGTTGTATTTTATTACCTTCAAAATAATAAAAAAAAATTTTTTTTAAAGTTATGCTGAGCTCAAAGTAAAGTAATAACTGATCCTTTTCTTGGTGACTTCTGTAAAAAGTTTTATAATGTTGGTATTATTTCATTAAAAGTTAAACATATTAATTAGTTAAACATACATACAAACAAAACATAGTCACTTGAACCCAAACTTCTCTTCTTCTGAAATTTTAACTATGGCCTTAATTTCTTTATAAATAATAAGACTGCCCAGATACTCTATTTCTTCTCAAGAGTTTTACAAAATTTTATTTTCCCAGGAACTTTTACATTTTACCCAAGTTTCAAAGCTGCTACCCTACACCATCTCAAGATGCCCCGGCTCATTTTGTTGCCTGCAGGGTCTGCACTGGTTTCCCCTTCTTATGGTGTCACTTGATTTTCTATCTCTCAACTAGACTCTTCAAGTATGTTAGAGCAGATCCTCTCCTTGGTATATCTGATTTCCAATGAACTTATTTCAGCTCTTAACCTGTACTATTATCTTAATTCTATTTTATTTGGCTTTAGTGGCCAATTCTTTAATTTCTTGAATCAATTCTTTCATTTACTTAACCTTTGAGAAGAGACAACACTATAAATAATCCTTAAAACTATGAGAAAAATGCCTATTTTCACTTAATGATAACTACAGTAAGTCCACAACCTATAGACACTTGTGCTGTGAACTTTTACAGTAGTACAGTACAATTGGGAAATTACTGTATTTTTGTGTGTCTGGTTTTTCTATGCTTTACACTGTATATTTGTGTTAAAGATGGCTAAGACTCACTTTGTCAGACCTATGAACAAATTCGACTTGCAAACTTTTTCTTGGAACAGAGCTATATTTACAGGAGAGCCATAAAACATACTGCTGGGCTTGGACCTGATCGCCACCAAAGCTCAAGTTGCAGATCCATGGCCCTAAGTCCAGATTGGTGCCACAAGAGATCATGTAGCACAGGAAACGTGTTCTCTTTCTTGTGACTTGACTCAGTATCAATCATGTCTATGAAGCCACCCATTCCCATTTTCCCTATCTACTCAACAAACATGATTCTTTTATGCCATGTTGTGATGTAATTTATACTTATCACAACTGTATTAACAGTTCTTACTTGCTTATAAGCTTTACATCAACATTCTTAATTGCATCTTCCCTCCAAGGTCACAAACTTCATGAATTTAAGGATAGTTAAGAACATCATAAACAATTAGCATGCCAGGTATGGTGGTACAAAACTTTAATCCCAGCTGAGGCTGAGGCAGAAGGATCACTGAGAGTGTCAAGCCAGCGTGGGCTACAAAGTGGGTTGTAGGCCAGCATGAACTGCATAGTGAGGATATGGTTACCATAATGCCTCTTGCTATCTTAAAAAGAATTGCCTGTATTATCAGGTATAATAAAATTGAACAAAACAGTGCAGAACAAAACCAATAAAACCTAAATATTGGAGACATTACAGGACTTCAAAAGAAGATAATAGTCAAACCAGAATGGACATCATAGTGAATCTTATTGCCTTCAAAGTAGTTGCCTATACCCTCAAACTTGATACTATCAAGCAAAACAGAATAGAGTAAAATCAGTCAAAACAAGATGGTGAGAGCAATACAGGGCTTCAAATCAAGTTAACAGGAAATCAAAATAGTTACTATAATATATCCTACTAATTTTAAAAAATTTTTTCCCTTAATTAAAAAAATAATAATAAATAAATAAATTTTTAAAAAGGGGGGAGATTGAGATACAGGTCAGAACAGAACATAACAATACAGGTCAGAACAGAACAATTTAAGCAACATAGTATTTCACCACAAGATAACCCGACTTAATAGTAGTTACCATAGTGTCCCTTTCCTTTAAGTATTTGGGTATAACTTCATATACTATTCTTGCTAGTTATCTTTAAAAATTACTGATTTTAAAATACTAACCTTGTTCCTAACAACCCTGCTGAATAATCTTGTTAGTAACAGTCTGTCTGTAGATACTTTTGGGGATTTTTTTGATGTAAACATTTCTATTACTGGTCAATGATGTCAACTGTTGCCTCCTTTTCCATCTTTAAAGCTTCTGCTCCTTCTTTGTACCTCACGTTAGCTACAATGTTCTCTGCCACAATGAATGGAAGTGGTTAAAACCAATTCACAGGTTTAACAGAAATGCTCTCAACACTATACCATCCAGTAAAGTGTACATAAATTTATTTCCTCTTTTCTCACTGGAAGAAAACCTGTTTTCATACCCAACATGCTGGGAATTATTACATACTGATTTGAATTTTATCAATTTTTTTCCTAGAACCTCACACTTCTTATAGATTTTTGTCCTAGTAAATTATATCACTAGGTTAGCTAATATTAAACTACCTTTCAATCCACTGCAATGAAGAATAAGAACCCCCTCTTCACCCAGAGGTGATGTTTTGCTTTTTTCATCATGTAGCCACACTGGTCTGTGGATTGTATTGAGGAATGCTTCGATGTTTGTAAGTGCATGTTCATTAAGTAAGACTGGCTTATAATCTTCCTGTGTCAAACTGTTCTTTTTTATATATCAGAACTATATTGGCCTTGCTGGGGATTTAGCTCAACGGCATAAGCACCTGCCTTGCAAGCAGGCGGTCGTGAGTTCGATTCCCGGTACCGATAAAAACGAAAAAGACAAAAAAAAGAACTATATTGGCCTTATAAAATAGCATACTCAGTGATGATTTGACAGGAAGTATCTTGGGAGTTTTAAAAAAGCTCAGGACACCTTATATCTTTTTTTTTTTTTTTTTTTTTTGGTACCACGGATCAAACTCATGACTGCACACTAGTAAGGCAGGCGCTTATGCTGCTGAGCTAAATCCCCAGCCCCACTTTCTGTTAGTTTTTAAAAATTATATTTTTCTACAGAATGGCCCATTTATTGGTATAAAGTTTCAGTTACAACTTGTTTCCTTCCTGCAACTTGAGTGTTTTTTTCATTCTTAATATGATCTATCTATAGCTTTTCTTTCTTTTTTTGATTCTTCTTGTCTGTCTTGTTTCTCTTTTCAATGATGTAGCTTTTAAGCTAATTAGTTCTATTTATTTTTATGTAGCTAATTCACTCCTTTTTGGTATGGTTTTCTTTCTTTGGGTTAAGCTCCCCATCAACACAATACAGTATATATTGTCAAGACTTGTCCATCTTAGGTCAGTTTAGATATGTAGTTATCTTACCACTCCAGTGTAAGTATTTTCTCATTTTCATAGTAATTTCATCTTATTATTTATTTATAAGATCAATTTTGAATTTCCAAAGATTTTATGGGAAAAACTAAGGACAGTTTAATTCTTTTACAAATATGTATCCTAATGGAATACTAGGGATCTACTTCTATTTAACAATAAGCTTAACTGGGCATTAAAGAAAATTTGTTGTATTTTTCTTGTGTGAGGAACAGGACAATTTTAATATCATTTGATTTCCAATATCACTGAAAAATACACCTCAAAAGTATTTTTAAGTCTATAACTCATGAAAGTTCTTGGTGCTGTCAGTGTGTAGTTAATGTTTGCAAAACTATCTTATCTTTTCCTTTGTCTACTACTCCTGATCTTTTAGAGAATAAGAAATCAGCTAGCAGACAAATACACAATTAGCATTTGTTTGAAATTTACTTTTATCTTTTTATTTTTATTATTAGCTTATGTTTGTGATACATAATCATTACATTCATCTTGTGGAATAAATTATCACACATTGATCAATTTTTCTCTTTTCAGTTTTTATTTTTTTATTCAGTACAGGTTTATAGTACAAAATGATTATATTCCTTATATGGAGTTGGTACATGTATACAACAGATCACTTCTTCTTTCATCCTTTTCCCATTTGAAAAAGATCTCCCTACTTCCTATTACCTATCTTTTACTTTATAATTATACTTACATTAATTAAATTTTACATAATTATAATTATTAATTATATTTTGAGTTTTTCACAAGATATATGTGATATTTAAACTTATATTTCAATCTCACTCTCTTCCTTTCCCCTCTGTACCATTTTCTTCTCTTATTAAGACACAAATTACTTAAAAAAAAAAATCAGAAGATCTAACGAAGACTCATACAGAAAACTACATTTATGTTTTTGTACAATTAGTTCTAAATCTCTGTTTACATTTAAGATTCATAAAAAGTTGAAAGGGTAGAGAAGCAAAGCTATAGTTAGTTTTGCCCAGAGAGATTATTTTTATCAGCAATTTTGAAGCACTGCTTTATTTCCCTGACTATACCAAGAGGATCACCTTTCAGTAGCAGTTTAGCTAGTCCTTACCTGGTGGTCCTGGATCTTCCTGCCCACCACTCTGAACGTGTTGTTGCCCGTGTGATGATAAATGTGGACTCTACTGAACCCTGTGGAGCCACCAGCTGGCACCCACTTCTTGTTGGCATCGTCGTAAACCATCACAGCAGCTCTCGCCTGACAGATACTCTGTTCACTGAAAAAAAAAAAAAATGTTCAGACTTAAGATATTTAAAACAAGCTGAAAGTCCCACATAGGCATACAAGCCAGCATTAGTCAAACCAACAGTCACGCAATATATAGTGTTGTACTGGGTGCTGTAAACAGTGAGCAGGATGAAAGCTTACCTTGCAGGGAAAAGTCGAGACACAAAAAGTGGTAAGGAACAAATGGGGAACAAGGAACACAAGAGTACCCAAACAAGCCACACAAGAGCTATTTTTTTCTAAATGCGAGCATCTAATTCCTTCATTAATCAAATACAATTACAAATACAAGTCAATTGTCAGTTGTTTAACTGTGCACATGCATATTACATCTGTCTATAATGATCATGTCTTTTATCTTTGGGCTCACTTCATAGCCTAACAAATTCAAATAAGACTCTTGGCCTGAGACAAGGAACTGTCACAATCAATGGATGGCAGTGTGAGTAAACTTCTGATTCCCAAGCAGCTTTATAACCTATGCAAAAACACTCCTGAAAGTGTAAAAGCAAAACTGAGATGATTTCTAAGGATCCTACTAAATTGAAAATTATAACTCCACAAATATTAAAAAGGAAAAGATCAAGTTTATAAGTTTTTTAAGTCTTTGTTTTGTTAATTTTAGTTGTCTGTTTCTAAATCAGACTAATATATACAAATAAATAAAATGTAAAGATGAAGTCGATTTCATATTTTGGAGTAAGCTCATTTTTCAAATAGACTATAATACTCCTGAAGTGAAAAAAGTGATTCAAATTTTACCTTATTTATTTTACTTATTTATTTTGGTGGTACTAGATACTGAATCCAGGGTCTTTGCACTAAGCTACACATACCCTTTTTTATTCTTTTTATTTAGAGAGAAGGTCTTGCTAAGTGTGCAAAGTTGTTCAAGCTAAGCTCCAACTTTCAATCCTTCTCCCTTAGCCTCCAGAAATGCCTAGATTACAGGCATGCACTACCATATCCAACCACATTTTATTTTTTTAAAAGAATCAAATACCAAAAGTGAACATCAGAAACAGGCAATATAAACTTTATGCTAGTGATTTTCCAATTACAATAACTCAAACTCCACACAGAAAACCCTTGTGATGCTTCTGAGACTTAAGCAGTAATCAAGGCGGATACTCCTAAGAAGCACACACAACTCCATCCTCAGAAAGAACACTGCTCACTCTACCAGTTCAACCTCAAAGATTCAAACAATCAAGTAGGTTCTTCTCAAACAGCCTCAGGAACCAGTCACCTCACACTGACCCTTCCTCAAGCTTCTGCTATGCGGGGGGTGGGGGTGGGGTAGGGGGTGGTCACTGAATGCTACAACTCTCCCTTGTCCTGGCACTGAGGACCCCACCAACAGTCACCCAAAGGTGTTACAGCTCTGTACAGCATATGTGCTTCATAACAGAGGTTACAAATGTTTATAATTTTCTGTTATGGAAATTTTACAAAAACTAATTTGTGACAGTATTTGTGTAGCAAATTCAGTAGTACTATCTAAACTTTTATGCTGTCCTAAAATTTCTTGGTAAATATTTTTTGAAGTAGAAAAAAAGCCAATAACTAAAGCACAAATTATTTTTAAAACATTAATTAATGGGTATTTGTCAATATAGCAGTTGAAATGTTTTCATCATTTGTAACAGAAATACTGACTTTTATATACCTATACAAAGATTACATGAAAGGCAACATGCCTCTGATAGTTTATAATTTAACAAATCTACTACAAGTTATTAGTAACAATTCAATAAATCTGTAAATTAATTAGAACAGTACTTTCCAGTTTTTAAAAATTAGTATTCTGGGCCTACATTCTGTTCCCAGGGTTCAAGGAGTAGTGTTTCTTCAAGATGTCCCAATACAAGCAATGGTCCTTTTTGTAAAGTAAGTCACTCTATGATTAAATTTAAAAAAATAAAAGTATAGGAAATATAAAACTAAAGAGCCCCCAAAGTTTTTCTCACACCTTTTCCTATCTACTGCTGCTCAGTGGGTTGCTAGAGAAACTCCAAATACTGAAATACAATGTTAATTCAACACCTCTGACTGCAGTTAATCATCAAGAAACTGTCACTATTCATACCCAAAGCTTCCCAATCTACAAATTCAACCTACTCTGTATCAAAGTAAGCTCAAAATATTATATTTGTATGGAGGTGTACTCTTTTTCTCCGTGTCAATATTACCTAAATAATACACAACTGCACAGCATTTACACTTTATTAGGTACTCTAAGTAACCTAGAGATGATTTATAGCAGAAGTGTCTAAAAAGTTGGCAGAATGTGGCTCTGAAGAGCTGATGATGCTTATTATTGTTTGACTTTAGTTGCGCAGTGTTGAGCATGGGCTGTACAAGAAACAGACTTGAGCGGGGAGGGCAAGGTGCAGTTTACACCACAGTCAGGGGATGGGAACCCTGTGCATGAGGGGTTCCACATGTCTGTGAACTTAAAAAAAAAAATCACAATAGTAGTTGCTAGTAGTATTTCAGCACACTACATATGTAAAACCAGGAATTTACTGTTACCAAGCAGATGTGCAAGGTTTTCTTATTAAACTGTATAATAACTGTATAATAACTTATTAAACTGTATAATAACTGTGTTATTTCATAAAATAATTTAGTAAAAATACTTGTTTGGAGCTGTGCTAGACTAGAAAAAGTTGTTTCAAAAACACTTTTGCAGGCTGGGAATTTAGCTCAGCGGCGCAAGTGCCTGCCTGACAAGCGCTAGGTCATGAGTTTGATCTCAGGTACAAAAAAATAAAAAATTAGCTCATAATACATACAACTGCTAATTCTAGAAAAATACAATTATTGCATTTTTTTTCTAGCCTGGCTTTAATGTCATCTCAAGAGAAAATAGAAACCCAAAAAAGAAAAGGTATAAAGTGTGCTCAATGAAAAATAGACCAATGAGTAATTTTTTGTTGAGAGAATAAGATACTATGCTTACTTAACTAGCAGGGAAATCCTGTATTTTCCAAGACTACAATGTAAAAAGACATTATATGACAAAGTATGTTGCCAAATTTGATATACATCAATGAAATTTTCATAGACAAAACAGCAGAACTAAAAAAGCCTATCATCTCAACAAAAAAAGTTATAATTCTAATAGACTGTTAGAAAAAGCAGCTAAATAGCAGCATGTTTGACTGCAAAAAAAAAAAAATTAAAATTACTAGAAGTGTTGGGGACTAGGGCTGTAAGGGTTAAGGCACTGCCCACAGTACTCTCTGCCCTTGTTGGGAAAGCTCATATTCACAGCATTTGGAAGGCAAGAGAAGACTACAGCTGCGAGCATCTGGCTCTCCCTCCTATTCCAGGGCAATAACTACCAACTTTAGAGATAAGATAATTCTCTTTCATTAGCAAGATTTACTGCTTGGAGTGGCTTTGTTCTAATTTCTCCAGGTCTGTTTTATTTTCAGGGCTTTTTGTCTCTGATGTGTCCTCTTCTCCCTCCACCTCATTTAACGTTAAGGACTCAATAAATGTGGGCAGTCCAGAAAAGTCTTGGTCTTAGCTCCAAGAAAGGTCTGGCCTTCCTGGACCCCCAAACCACATGACATTGTCTCTTTTATTTAAGCCTATACACATATTTCAGGAAATCAGAAGCCTGATCAACTCCTGGTAAGACCCATTTACTGAGAGTGAGTTAATTACACAATGAATAGAAAGCATGGCAGATCTGATTTGTTCTGATAAAAGATCAGATTTTTCTCTAGGTTATAGCCAAATCTATTGAAAGAGATTTGGAAAGTAAAATTGTTGATTTCAATTTTTATGCTTGGCTACTGATTAAAGTGATGGCATTACTAATAAGGCTCAACTTGTCTTTTTCATTAGTAGTACCAACAACTGCTAACTGAAGAAACAGCTTCTTTTGGTGTCATTAAAAGACACAACTAAGTGCTCACTTTGGCAGCACATATGCTAAAATTGGAACAATACAGAGAAGATTAGCATGGCCTCTGCACAAGGATGACATACAAATTCGTGAAGTGTTCCATATTTTTAATAAAACAGACACAACTAAACCTCTTGATTTGTATTAAGCAACAAAAAATACATTAAAGCAATTTTCTTTAATCTTTATCAACATGCCTACTATGGCTACTGATGCTGATGCCTCAGTAATGGCTGGTTAAGGATTCAGACTGGGCATGGTGGCATGCACTTAGAAGCACTCTTGGAGGCTGAGATAGGACTGCAGATTTCAGCTCAGCCTGGACGACTCATTGAGACTCCCATGTGTTATGGCTTAGACCTCAAATGTCTCCTCACAGTCTCGTATATTCAGAGGTGATGCTTTTAGAGAATAACTAGAATGTGGGGGCACTGTACTGAATGTACTGCTAAGAACTAGGACTTGGTCTGAAGGTATGGGTCACTGGGAACATGACATGAAGGTCCTCCTCCCTTTGCTCCTTTTTGTTGTGAGGTGAGCAATTTTTCCCTGCTGAGTCCTTCTGCCTGGGAGCCAATGACCATGGACTGAATTCACTGAAAATTATGAGCAAAATAACCTCTCTTAAGTTGCAAGTGTCAGTTATGGTGTATAGTAAAATAACAGAGAAGCAGACTAATACACTGCCTCAAAATAAAAAAGAAGGTTGAGGATACAGCTCAGTACCAAGGCCTTGGGTTTAAACTCCAGTAACAGCACCAACAGAAAACAAATCTTGTCAAGAAAGCTGTGAATTTCCTAAGGCCAAAGGCTTAAATCATTGCCAAATCCAAGAGTTTACCACAAGCATGAATGCTGACTTCAGTAATGTTGTCTACTTTAAAAAGTAAGATGACAAATCAAGCTGAATGCTGTGAAAAGACTGCTATATGAATCACTAGACAATTCCTCTTCATTTAATGTAGCCAGGGCTAGCCAACAGTTTGGACACCTATGATTTATGTACATGGAAATACATATGTAGGTTGTATGCAAACACTATACCATTTTACAAAAATGACGTAAAC